CTCAACTCTGTAAGACTAATCCTGTCTCCGTGGAATTCTTCTCTGATTTCTTTGTTGTGAAGGATCTAGCCACGGAGGCACACCTGCTGCGAGGCCAGAATAAAGGCGATGTCTATGAGCTGTCGGTGGAGTCTCAACCAGTTCGACTTGCTTTGACGGAGGCTAGGACTTCCTCGACTCTCTGGCATAATCGACTCGGCCACCCGTACCTCAAACTTCTCACTCGTGTGTTACGTAATAAGTCTCTGCCTGCTACCTCTCCTTTATCCAGTTCTTCGTGTGAATCTTGCTCTCTACATAAAACCCATAAACTACCGTTTGCCGTTTCTAGTCTTTCCAGTACTCGTCCATTTGATTTGTTATACATGGATGTTTGGGGGCCTTCTCCTGTTTTATCACATGATAATTTTTCTTATTACTTAGTCATTGTTGATCACTTCACACGTTATACATGGCTATATCCTTTATCTCGTAAGTATGATATGCATCATGTGTTCACTACTTATAAGGCGATGATTGAAATTTTTTTCCACACCACCATTCGCCGTGTTTATAGTGATGGTGGTGGCGAGTTTCAAAAACTATGCTCCTTTCTTCAAACCTATGGTATTACTCATCTGCTCACCCCACCGCATACACCTCAGCATAATGGCCTGGCTGAACGTAAACACCGTCACATTGTTGAAACTGGTCTCGCACTTCTTTACACTGCTCACCTTCCAGTTACCTTTTGGTCTCATGCCTTTCTCACCGCCACTTACCTTATAAATCGACTACCCTCCTCTGCTCTCCATGGCCAATCTCCATACTTTTCCTTATTTAACGAACACCCAAACTACCTCAAACTTCGTGTTTTTGGTTGTGCTTGTTACCCCTGGCTCCGTCCCTATTCTGCCAACAAATTATCACCTCGTTCTCGCCGCTGTATCTTTCTTGGCTACTCCATTAGTCAAAGTGCCTATCAATGCTATGATCCCTCCTCTCGTCGCTTGTTTGTCTCCCGCCATGTGCTGTTTGATGAGGCCCTTTTTCCTAGCCTCACCGCCTCCACTACTACACATTACGACCCTCATGATTGGGTAGCTCTTACCACTCCTCCTGTTACAATTCACCACCTACCTGCTACCTCACCTAGTCCGCCGCCAGCTGTCTTCCCTCCCATGGCTTCATCACCTGCTCATAGACATGAGGTGTCCCCCCGCACAGTGGTGTCCCCGGCTCCTTCCTCTACACAAAGTCATCAGGTTCCACCCCCGCCGGCCAAGGTAGCCCGTCGTCCCACCACTCGCAGTCAACATGGTATTTTCTGTCCCAAAAGCTGTTTATTTCGCAGGTTGGTGTCACTGTTGAGCCGTCCTCAGTCAAGAAGGCCCACGCCGATCCTCGCTGGAATGCTGCCATGCGAGCTGAATTCTTGGCTCTTCTTGCCAATACCACATGGACTCTGGTTCCTCGTCCGTTATCCCAGAATGTCATTGGCTGTCGATGGATTTTTCGCATCAAATGGAACAGTGACAGCTCTCTTGATCGTTTCAAAGCCTGGCTTGTGGCCAAGGGTTTCACTCAGCGTCCTGGCATTGATTTCCATGACACTTATAGTCCAGTATTGAAGCCTGTCACTGTGCGCACTGTCATCTCCATTGCGTTATCCCATCAATGGCCCATTCTCCAATTCGATTTTAACAATGCGTTCTTACAGGGATCTCTTGAGGAAACTGTTTACATGGAGAAACCTCCGGGATTTCGTGATCCTAATTTTCCTGATCACGTTTGCTGTCTCAATTGTGCTATTTATGGTCTACGGCAGGCACCTTGTTCTTGGTACATGGCATTCTCAGGTTTTCTTGAAGACTTTGGTTTCGTCAAATCTAAGTCAGATGCCTCTCTATTCATTTATCACTAGGATCCCATCACTATGTACTTCCTGGTATATGTTGATGATCTGCTCCTCACCGGCAACCATGCTTCTACAATGGCTCACTTTCAATCAAGTTTGGCCGCTCGCTTTTCTCTAAAAAGCCTCGGTTCTGTTGGATACTTCTTGGGCATCGAGGTTCTCCCTACATCCTCTGGTTTTTTATTGTCTCAACACAAATATATCAAGGATATCCTCCAGCGCTTTGGCATGGCTGACTGCCAACCAGTGCCAACACCCATGTCCTCCACTGCGCAGCTCCTACTTCGCGACGGCTCCTCTCCTGCGGATGTCACACTCTACAAACAGGTTATTGGTTCTCTCCAATATCTTCTTTGTACTCGTCCTGACGTTGCTTTTGCGGTCAATAAGCTCTCTCAGTTCATGCACGCACCGACACAACTTCATTGGCAACATGTCAAGCGCCTCCTCCGTTATCTCAAAGGCACCATCTCCCTTGGTCTTCGCCTTTCGGCTGTTGCTACTTCGACTCTCGTTGTCTTCGCCGACTCGGACTAGGCAGGCGCCCAATGATCGCACGTCTACCATGGCCTATCTTGTCTACTATGGGGGTAATCTTATCTCTTGGAAGTCCAAGAAACAACGTTCTGTGCCTCGATCCATTACGGAGGCTGAATATCGCGCTCTCGCTCATGCCATGTCTGAATTACTATGGATACAGTAGCTTCTCGCCGAGCTTCATCACCCTCTCTCGTCTCCGCCAACACTCTACTGCGACAATCTTGGTGCGGTGAATTTTTCAGCTAATCCTATTCACCATTTCCGCATGAAACATCTCGCCCTTGACTACTTGTTCGTTCGTGAGCTCGTCCAAGCTTCTGCTCTCCGTGTGCTTCACATCCCCAGCGCTAATCAGCTTGCTGATTCATTAACGAAGCCCTTGCCCATCACTCGTTTTCAACTCCTACGGTCCAAGATTGGCGTCGTTCCCGCCACCATCTTGCGGGGGCGTGGTAAGGATACTTCTTAAATAAATATTTTCCTTCATTGTAATTGTTGTTAGTAGCCACGTAGGTGGCTCCATGTTTATAGCCACGTAGATTAGGATTCAGTTGTAGAGAGAGTAATTAATCTAACTCTTCTATCTAATACAAATCAGGTCATTCAACCCTAACAGTTACCACCATCTGAGCCCCCAAAATCTCGATAGAAATTTTGAAACTATTCACCTTTTTTTGCCTGGAATGTCCGTACGAGATTGTGATCAAACCCTAATCGAGTTTATTCTTATTTTTATTATTAGTCATCTTGGATCGGATTGATTTAATTGTGATCACATCCTATTCTCATTAAATCCTAATTACTCAAAGTTATCACTATTTACGGTAATTATATATTAACACAATATAATTATTTAACCATTAATCTAACTAGATAATTAAACACATATTTTATAACCATTTACTATAATATTTCATTACCAAATATTTAATTGATAATCAAAATTATTTACACAATTCATTCCAATCTCTGGCGTAATTCAACTGCTAAAATGGCCACGTAATTCAAACAGAAACTCCTAACTACAAAGTATAAACTAGGAAGCATTAATTACCGCAAAAAGGCATAATTTATATAAAATTATAGGTGTCCATTTGAACGGAAACATTCCTATAGTTATGGGGTTAGACTTAATTAGAGTTAGATCTGCCATCCCGTTTAATTTTCCCAATTATTAGTCTTTTTTATTATTTATTAACTTTAAACTTCCTAAATCAATATTAACTCCTTAATTACCGGGAAAATATTAACTCCATCAATTACCGAAGTATTATTATTTTTTATTTTATAATTATTTAAAATAACAAAGTGCTTTATTTCCGCCCCAAATTACTCTATCGATGCAAAAAAAGTTCATCGCGGGAGTACTCTTTGATCAATCAAACCGAAGAAAAACATAGTCATCGTCGCAACCCTCCTACCCTGTCCGACAGTAGGCGGGCGCCGTCCGTACCGGGCGAGCGGGCGTCGTCTGACGCGGGCGCGCGGACGCCGTCCAAAAGCCGACGTCGGACCGCTCATCTTCGTCGGACGATGGGAACGACTATGCCAGGAATACGATCGATGATGTTGGGAAAACGATACCGGTAAAACACCAAAGAGCTCAGATCGAGAGGAATTAGGAGTGTTGTTCGCCATCGCTAGAGGGATTCTGAGGTTTGGGTTGGATTTGTGGTCGGCGCTTCTATTGAATCTGATGAATGGTAGACGACGGTCGGGGCAGGAGGAGGATTTTGTTGGCGGTTGATGGGTATTTGGTGGCGGAAGGTTGGAATTGTTGGGATTGTGGTCGGCTGCAATATTTCGGCAGAGAGAGGAACCTGAGAATTTGCACCATGCCTCCAAAATCCGTCAACCGGTCCAAAAATCCGGTCAACCTCTCCCCAAACTCTTACTTTCCCTCTTTATCCTTCTAGAAAGATAACCATTATATCACATCTCTTCCAATCTCAGCCATCCACTATAATTTTGTAGTATTACAAAACTACAAGGTTTTGTTCCCTTCTACAAAGATGACCCTTAGATCACTTTCCTCTGAATCTCTACCATTAATTATGAATTTGTTGAATACAAAATGTTAGAGTTCGGTACACTGACTCAAACCTTATTAAATTCATAATATAAAAATGAATTCAACTCTACGAAATATCCTTACAAATAACTTGATTCACAAATAAAACTTCTAATTATCCATCATTCTTTGATCCATTCACACATAACTTTTCATCCTAAAACAATCTTACAAGTACTTGTAGCTACGACGAGCCAAGTATCCTCACTAACAAATTAACCAAACAATCATATTACTTTTTTTTTCACATGACACAATATTAATGAAATTGATATTCATTGATAGGGTGAAACATTCGGAGTCAGACTCTAATACGTATATGTAGATCATCATTACTTATTCCATCATAGTCTTGATGGATATTCCTGTTGGTAAGCAATTCCTCAGTTGAGAGAGATTAGTCAAGCAAGTACATCCTTGAAGGTCTAAAATTTTCAGTCCTGAAGGCAGATTCATCGTTAATTTTTCCAATGATGTGCATCCACTTAAATCTCACTCCTCCAAAGATGTAAAATTTGCAAGTCCGAACGCATCATCAATCTCATGCAAACTTGGCATATCCTTGATCCACAACGTACGCAACTTCCCCAAATTTGAAAGTGATGGCATTCTCTCTAATTTTTTGCATCCTTGGATTTTGACTGTTTTCAATTTCTCCAAGCCAGATAGATTTTCGACCCTTTCCAATGACGTGCAACCGATCAACATTAATTTTCGTAACGACTTCAAACCTGCAAGACCCTCCATCTCCTGCAAACTTGGCATATCCTTGATGGACAACTTACGCAACTTCCCCAAATTCGAAAGTGGCATCAGTCTGTCCAATTTTATGCATCCTTGTATTATGGCTGTTTTAAGCTCCTCCAAGCCAGCTAGACCGTTGACCCTTTCCAATGATGTGAACCCGATTAGTTCTAGGACTTGCAACGAATTCAAACTTGCAAGGCCCTCAATCTGCTGCAAACTTGGCACATCCTCGATCGACAACGTATGCAACTTCCCCATACTTGAAGGTGAAGGTTTTGTGTAGCCATGAATTTTGACTGTTTACAATTCCTCCAAGCCAGATTGAAAGTCGACCCTTTCCAATGACGTTCACCCGATCAGTTGCAAGGATTGCAACGACTTCAAGCCAGCAAGGCCCTGTATCTTCCGCAATCTTGGGGTATCCTTGATGGTTAATTGTCCCAAGTTTCCTAGCTTTTAAAATAACGGTAGCCTCTCTATTGACGACAAGTTAACCAACATCATGTAAGCTAACTCTTCTAGACAATCAAGTCTCTCCAGTGCTAATACCTCCTCATGCTGCTGCTTTATCTTGACTGCTTTCTTTACTTTCACTACCAATTTACATGAAAATAAATAAGCAGCTTAAATAGGGGTGTAACACTAGAAACTCGTTGACTTGTCCTGACCCTGAGAGTTAGGCTGGGTCTGTTTGTCTACAGGGTCAGTTTAGGGTTGGGTAATCTTTTGTCTCTGTAGGTTGTAAGTGTCAGATCTATTTAGGTTCGGGGCACTTTCTGGCACTGTGGCTTATAACAACATAACTTTTTTGCTAGTGATATGAAATTCATCATTCCAACACATTGGACGTGTTTGTAAAGTTTTAAAGGTTTAGGCAATATAATGCAAGATAAAAAATATAAAGATACTGAAAGAAATTTTACCATCAAAATTTATGAACCTATTTGTTAAAAAAAATCAAGATTATGTACTAAATTGTAATAAAAAATAAATTTGGATACCGAAATATAATTTTCAAAAATAAGTGTGTTGATTTGAGCCAACCCACTTACCAGACCCGCCCCAACCTTAGATGGTCAAAAAGAAAATTGCGCCAGGGCGGGTCAAATCATATCAGCTAATCCTTCAAAAGCAAGTTAAATAGGGTGATCAGAGCAGGTCAAACTAATTTGCAGCCTAGTTATTATCACAACTCACAACAATAAAGAGAAAAAATCTATGAATTATTGATCAAGGAAAAGAAATGGCAAGAATTTGAGCTTCGAGAACTTGGAGAGATGAGGCAGCTCAAGGCCATCCTGTAACAACAGGGACTTGCAACCCAAGATGTAGATGATCTCCAAGGATTTGACTGCTCCTTTGGCGCCACTTGGACCACCGACATAATTGTAATCGTCATCATCATCATGGAACTGGTATTGACATAGAGATAGGGATGTAATGCAAGGGCATTCCCATATGCTCAAGGATTTCAGATTGTCAGAAGAAGAAGACAAGAGCTTGCCCAGACTGCCGATGCGAATCAAACTCTTTGCAAAATAGATGTTGAGTTATTGTAATGATTTCAACCCTTGGATGCTTTCAATCTCCTCTAGAAGAGGGCATTCACGAATCGATAAGGAATCCAAGTTGCCCAAGGACTCCAGGCGGGATATTCTCTAAACTGGATATATTGTAAGCCTTCCGACCACCCACCACATCGCAAGAGTTCCAAACCAGTCGTCGTAAATTCGCAGCATCATATATTTTGAAAGATTGCAAGGATTCGAGTACTCTGAGGCCTCGAATCTCTATAGGGAGGGGACACCCTTCAAAGACTAATTTGGTCAAATTCTCCAGATTCTCCAGATTTGGCAGCCACTACAATTCTGCACATTGCATGACCCGCAGAGAGGTTAAAGACGATGGAAACATGGAATTGTTGGGATTGTTGGACCACATTTTCGAGACGGTATAGAGTGTCAGAGTCTTCAACTTGGATAACTTCCACCACTGATTGTCTCCCTCATTATCTGCAGGAGGGATCTCGAGCTCGTACCCATAGTAGTAAACTTGTACTCCTCGAGCTCTATAAGCTCTGAAAGATTTTTGATTGGAGATGACGTGCTCAGCTCCTTCAAACTAACGGGAAGTTTTCAAGTCAGCACCTGTTTGTTTAATCATGTAGTAGAAGTAGGGGGGAAATGATACTATTTAGAGAAAGATAATAATCAACAATAGACAAAAGTGAATCTCATAACCGAACCTGCTGATCCTGGGGTGTCAACATTGACAAGGACTTGTCCCGAATTCTCGCACTTCAAATGAGTTTTATCAAGCTCTCGAAGATCCTCCATCATCCCAATAGTTTCGCCTGCTATCTTCTTCAAGGAATAGAACATAAGATGCAACACCATTAGGTTCCTCAACTTGCCAATATCTAGCTCTTCATGATCCTTTTCGAATCTCCTAAGATCTAAAGTCTATAGACTCCCAGATTCTGACAACTTGGGCAGCTTTGTCAGCTCATTAAATCATTAAGATCCAAAACTTTCAGCCTGTTTGCCATATGTGCGCATACAACCCATGCAACTCATAACCGGGTCATGCGAATTTTAATCACAAGCGATCGAGATTTAATTAAGAATCCATGCGTAGTTGCAAACCTGAATTTGAGTCCAGCCTCCCCCATCGTCGCCTATGTTACTGCCACAGAGTTCAAGAATGGCCAAACTTTTCATATTGAAATTGACTAAATCATCTCCAGCTCTTCCATGATTGAACAACCGAAGCCATCTTTAATTGGGAAGAAGATAGTCGAAGTCACCAGACAACTGTGCAAAGGATGTTTCCAAGTATCTCAACCTTGATAAGTTGGTAAAACATTCACTTTCCAACTTAACGTGGTCTTCTTCACTTTCGGATGACAACTTCACCAACCTAATGGCTTTCACTTGATCTGTTCCCTGTATAAATAAATTAAACGACCCAACAACCACCATAAGCTTACTTTTATTTCTAAGATTGTTGTACTAAGAAATAATAAAAATTAAATAAGTATTCCTAATCTATCTCTAACAAATGATAGTTTGGAAAATACCTTCTTGTGACGGAACAACTCCAGAGCCGTTTCCTTGGACCAGATTCTACTTCTCATCCATGTGTATTCTATAATTTCTCTATGAACGATTTCTCTTCCCATATCTCTTAGTTGATCGTGCATTTGACATGTATTATTGTCACCAATTCTAACCATATACCTTTGGATAAGAAGGCTATGTGATTGGTTGGATAGAAGTGATAGCTACTCCACATGTAAAAAGGTCTTTCTTTGTCTTTTTCGATATAGAGACAAGCAATGTCAAGAAATATCTCTTTTGCCTCATATTCCAATGCATCATAACTTATTTTTAATCGCTCTATGACATCTCTCTCGGGCATTTCACTTAAATGCATCAATTTTTCCTTCCAAATTGATTTTCCTTCTCGATACAGAAGTGATCCTACAACCTTGAGAGTCAATGGAAGTCCACTCGTGGTGGCCACAATGTCGTTTGATAAAATTTCATAATCTAGTGGGGGAGAATCCTTCTTGAATGCATGCTTGCTGAAGAGTTGAAGTGAGTGAGGAGGACTTAGGGTTTGAACGTCGTACAACTCACATCTATTTTCATTTAGCATACTTAGAATTTTTTATTTCTTGATGTAATGATAAATATACTACCAGAAAGAAATCCTCGAAGATTTCTTTAGATTTTTTCAAATTCAAACTTTTGATCAACGTCCTCAAGAACGATAAGGATTTTGAATCGAGAAATTCTATCTGAAATGACTCTCCTTCCTTGACTAACATTATCAACAGATCCTACTTTCCCGTAGCATCTTCCATTAGCTTCTTTTGTATTTTCAAAATACCATCCTTTTGTTGTTGTGTTTCTCTTATGTTTTCTAAAAAAACTACAACGATCAAAGTGAGAGAGTATTTTGTTATACACAGCTTTTGCCAGAGTCGTCTTGTCGACCCCACCAATCCCATGAAGTCCAACTATTGTCACGTCTTTAGAGTTCAAACTCAATCTTTTCATTACCTCTTCTATGTGGCCATCAATACCAACCAACTCACCAGTCTCTACTACGTCATAGAGGCTACGCAGGTGTGACCATATACTGTCTAAAACAAGATATGCAAATTACCTTGCCTGAAAATTGAGAAGGGGTGACAAAATCAATCAATAAATTGTTGATAATGATACAATTTAAGTAAAATTAAGGTTAAATACACTTGTATATCCAAAACTTTCACGATTGTGCCAATAATATCCAAATTTTCCGAAATACCACTTATATCCAATTCCTTCACATTCTTTAACGGTGTTTTTGGATATACAAGTGTATTTAACCAAAAATATATTGGAAAATGGATAGAATTGGCAAAGAACAACTTTAAAACATGGATATAAGTGGTATTCCGGGAAATTTGGATATTATTGGCACAACCGTGAAAGTTTTGGATATACAAGTGTATTAATGTGGGATGATAAAAAGTGTCACTTTTAGAGTTCGGATCTAGTGTCCAACAGTCGTTAAAAGTTAAAAATAACACTAGCACTGTCCATAAAGAGTAGAAACCTTATATGCAGTATGCGATTTAAGACATTGCGAAGGGAAAACCTAAAGCAATATTAAGAAACTACTTAATCGTTCTTCATTAAATTTGTTGAAGTGGCTAATCGTAGTACACTCGGGAGATCTCGAGTCTGCTACATCAACAAAATCAACAAAAATAAGTTTTTTTCTTCTCTTTTTGGATTTTTTTACGAAATGATTTTTTTTGTTATTATAAACTATAAAACTTCTAAATAAGTATTTTTATATTGGTTTTGATAATATGGTGACCATGTGGGGTCCTTGGTGTACTGCATTGTTAGCCAAACCAACAAATTTAACGAAGAAATTGACTTATGAATATAATTGTCTACACGTTGTTGAGATTGTTTTTCACGTTGCCATGTGAAATTTTTTCAACATATCTCAGGTGTACTTCTCCCGTGAAATAAATATTTCTATAGGTGACTGCTTCACTTGGGTCCCAAGAAAATACTTCATGAGTCCCAAGTCCGTCATCTCGAATTCTTTCATCATGGTACTTTTGAATTCTTCAATCATCCGCTGACTTGTTCATGTGTAAATCAAGTCATCAACATACAAATACACCATTAGAAAATCTTTGTCACCCCCCTTTTGATATAGAAAGATGCTTCACTCGGACTTCTTTGAAATCCATTTTGCTGAAAATATCGATCAATTCTGTTGTTCCAGGCTCTCTTTGCTTGATAAACCGTATAGAGCCTTTCGGAGACGATAGACTTTGTATTCTTCTCCTTTTTTCTCATAGCCCCGTGGTTGTTCAACATAGACTTCTTCTTCCAGTTCTCCATTTAGAAAAACTAATTTGACATCTAGCTGGTATACTAGTAACTCCAGTTGTGTAGCTAGAGCGAGAACTGTTCTGATGGTCTCCATCCTTGCTACTGGTGCATATGTCTTGTGGAAATCAATACCGGGCTGTTGTGAATAGCCCTTTTCCACCAGTCGAGCTTTGTACTTCTCAATAGAACCATTCATTGAATTTGACCTTATAGATCCATTTGAGACCTATAATCGGCTCGTCCTTCGGTTGATCAACAAGCTCCCATGTCTTGTTTTCTCGATCATGAAAATTTCTACATCCATTGCCTCGTTCCAAACTTCATCTTTGGATGCTTCTTCAAAGACTTGAGGTTCACAAGAAAAGTATGCAACATGACTTGTTTCATAAATTTCTCGCAAAGACCTTGTTCTCAACGGAGGTGAATCCGAGTATGTTACGACGTCTCTAAAATTGTCTCCTTCTAATTTATTTATGGACTTGCAACTGGATCCAAGTCATTGCTGGGGTCTTCTGGAGTTTCTTAAGTCCTCCAGAATTTCATAACTTGGTGGAGATTGAGAAATTGGATTTTCCCGATTCCACTCCGCCATCTCATCAAAGATCAAATCTCTGAAAACCACCACCTCGTTCTTTACTGGGTTGTAAAGACGATAGCCTTTGGATTCATCACTATAGCCGGTGAAGATCAGCTTCTCTCCCTTCTTGTGAAACTTGTCTCGGCTTGTGGTAGAGATATGTACATAAGCTATGCACCCAAAGACTTTGAGGTGATCCACCTATGGCCTCCAGTGGTGCCACGCATGTATCAGTGTCTTGTACCGAACTGCTTTGGTTGGTGAACTGTTGAAGATGTAAATTGTTGTGTTGACTGCTTCTGCCCATAAGTTGTTGGGAAGCTTTTTGGCTTTGAGCATACTTCTCTCCATCTCCACAATCGTGCGATTTTACCATTCTGCCACACCATTTTGTTGTGGTGTGTAACGGACCGTCAGTTGCCTTTTGATTCCGTTGTTGCAGCAATACTCCATGAATGGAGTATAAATAAATTCTCCTCCACAATCTGTTCGGAGAGTTTTGATTTGATGGCCTCTTTCCTTTTCAGCTACTACTTGGAATTGAAGGAACTTGGGAAAAGCTTTTGACTTTTGCTCCAGAAAGAATACCCACATCATTCTGGTGTAGTCATCTACAAATACTATAAAATATCTTTTACCGCTGAGTGATTGTGTTCGGGTTGGACTGGATATGTCTTCATGTACCAACTCATGTGACGCTTTTGCTCTCTAAGATGTCATTGGAAATGGTAAACGATGCATTTTGCCATATTTGCATCCTTCACAGATCTTGTCTTCTTTGTTGATCTGGGGAAGTCCGCCACCATATTTTTCTGCCTCAGCAATTTGAGGCCTTTGAAGTTGAGATGACCGTATCTAAGATGCCATAGGAAGGATTGATCCAGATTTTCACTCTTGAATGCTACTTCTCCATTTTGTGATATAGCAAGAGAAAAAAATTATGTTGGAAGTCATCGAGACTTTGGCCACCATGAAGCTGTCATCTTTGTTGATAATCTCGCACACGCCATTATCAAACAATAGCTTGTAATTTTTCAGCATCAGTTGTCCCACGCTCAGTAGATTGAGATTTAGCTCCGGAACATACAAAACGTCTCGTATGAGAGTTTTGTTAACTTCTTCTGTGCATACAACAACTGTGCCTTTTCCTTCCACTTTTAGCTTCTTTCCATCTTCCAATTTTACTTGAGAGCGGTATTGGTCATCGATGTCGGTGAAGGACCCAGATCTCCAGTCATGTGGTTACTGCAAATACTATCCACCATCCATGGAAGCTGTGATTTTTGCTCACCATTCAAGCATGACAAGGCCACCATATTGCTTTCTTCATTTTTGGTGTTACTTGACTCGCCATCATCTTGCTTGTTCTAGAAGCAGCAATCTCTCTGGGGGTGGTTTTGAATTATGCACTTGGTGCACTTAAATCTGCAGTCTTTCGTTGCATCACCCTCCTTTTTGCAAATTATGCAACTCGAGCATTTGTAGCCCGATTTTTGTTGTTGATAATTTGGCCTGTTGTTTCCTCTGTAATTGGATCTTCCTCTTCCTTGTGAGTTTCCCCCTCTCTGGCCTTGCTCCGATTTGGCATATTTACTTTCCGTTATGTTTACTTTTGACGAGAAAGCTTGCTCAATTGGCGGTTTGGTGAATCGGCTCATTCTTTGCTCATGTGCTACAAGTGAGCCCATCAACTTGCTCATTGGTAGATTTGCCAAATCGTTGTTTTCTCCAATGACAGCAACAATATGCTCGAACTTTGATGAAAAACTGTGGAGAATTCTCTCCACAATTTTCTTTCTTCCATGACGTCACCGGTGGCTTTGATCTGGTTGACTGTCTCCGCCACACGCGAATGGAAGTCTTTGATGGTGTCGAGTTCCTTCATCATCAAGTTGTCGAACTGGCGCCATAAACTTTGTCGCCTGATGGAGATCGACTTTTCAGAACCTTGAAATTGTTTACGCAAGACATCCCATAGATTCTTGGGTAAATAGATTTGCTCACTGCTTGCTGAATGATTCTCAAGGCGCTGGCATTTTGCTTGTCATTCTCCTTGTACTCCTTTATCTGCTTGCCTGCTCGTTTTTTCGAGTCTTCATCCTCGTCTTGTGGATCTCCATATCCTTCTTGGACTATATCCCACAGATCAATCTTGAGAGGTGAAAATTGGCTCCATTTGGGCACTCCTGTACTCGTACAATTCTCCATCGAAAATGAGAATTTGATTAGAGGAGGTAGCAAACATGGTATTTGATGAAGTTGTTGCCATGGCTTTTTTTGAGAAAGTTTGTGTAAGCTAGAAAGGTGGGTTTTTTTAGAGGATAGAAGGGTATTAACTCTAATACCAAATTTCTTGGGTATTTGCGGATGTAATGGTAATTTTGGATCAAGACAAAGCAAACATTTGGTGAAAGAAAATGAACGATAAGAACGATAACTCACAAATGCAGGCCCTTCATCTTTCCTCCATGTATTGAACGTAAATGAGCAAAAGACATGATATTGAATATATGTCTCATGCATTGTTTGGCTTATCTATTGAGTCTTTTCCATTTTGCTGTCCATGTGAGTTGCTTGTCATAATGCACCGGTTGTTGAGTCTTTTTATCATCAATCAACTTCCTTCTCATTATAACCAACTTGTTGATTGCTTCATTGATAGGATGGGAACATGATAAGCTCCTCAACCAACTATGTCCCATGTAGTAATGGACTTTTTAAATTTAGCTCCAAGATTGACCATTTATTGATTTATTTTATCAAATGCAAATTACCTTTCAACAATCCCTCTCAAGATGAAGCTGCAGAAACTTTTCTAAGATTATTATTATTTGTATATGCAGGTTTTCGTGGCGACAGAAATGGTCAAGCTATATGGTACATGTACAATATGTCTAATAAATTGTGCTTTCATAATGTGAGAATCGCTTGGTTTACAAGTAAATTAAAGCAAGTTCAGATTCTTTTACAGGATTGAATGAATGATTTCGGAGACAGGAGACAAAGGAGAGGAAGCTAGGTGGCATAATTTGTAGAAACTTATATTCTATGAATGATAGATACTTTTATTTCGGGTTAATTGCATGGTTGGTCACTGAGATTGCAAAAAACGTTCATGTTTGGTCACTGAAAATATTTAAATCCGTTCGTGGTCACTCTAATTAGTTTAATGGGTCGAGTATGGTCACTCTCCGTTACCTTCCGTTAGTCTTTGTTAACACTGTCAATTAATTGCTGACGTGGCTAACAGAAATGTACAATCATCCAATTTTACTCAGAGAAAATTAAAATATAACCTGCCACATCATAAAAACCCTCCACGTCATATAATCCCAATCCCAATAACCCGACCTACACAAATCAAAATTAAAATAATTCTAAAAACACTGAAACTCCCCTTTCTCTTCCAAAAACCATCGTCATCGATCTTCCTCTGATTGCTACTCCGGCAGCACCATCGATAACAAGCCCAAGAACTCTAACCCGCCGGACAACGACCTCCAACTCCAAATCGCATGGGTTCATCAATGCAAGGAGCAAATCCGCTCGACGTAGACCCAACCATCGTTGCAGACTGCCATAAATCCAGAACATCGTCGAAGCAGATATGCTCGATGAGGGTGGCCCAACCATCTCTCCCACAAAACAATACCATCGATGGAGCAGATCCTACTCTTGCTTTCTCCCTCCTGTAATGTTCTCCAACCCAGCCACAAAGAGGAAGAAGCAATCGCACAATCCAGAGATTGTCAATAATTGTCAAAAGACGAAAGCGTTGGGTTTGGGAAGAAGAAATCAACTTCTTCCTCTTGATTTTTCCTCCAACCAATTCGTTATAGCTCTTTCTCTTCTAAGCTCATGAATCCCACATCGGCATTAGATTGAAGAAAAGCAGGCGGACTGAATCCCTCCCGTCCCAAACGCCCAACAAAAGAGCACCCTTCTCCTTTTGATCCAAACTCTCCCCGACCCTCTCCAGTCAAAAGACCCATCCCGTTAGTCTCCACCGAGATCCCCCAATAGTTACAGCAGTAGGCTCGTCCTTGCTATCCGGACGTCACGCTTCGTTTGTCCCTCCGTCCAGAGCTCCTTCTCCTTCTCCACTGAATTACCTAGCTATTCGCCTTCGCAATTTCATCCCGATTCACCCTAGTCGTTCCGGCAGATTCGCCCCCTGCCCATCAATCCATCGTCTTCCTCTATTTTATCTGAATGAAAAAATACTATCCCCAGGGAATGACGGATCTGCTTCTCCTCAACTTGTCATCTTCCGGAAAAGCGAAGGCGGCAACAAGGAGTGAGTTAAAGCTGGCGCGCCGTCGTTGGTTAGTGAGATTGGAGAGGGAGTGGGATCGACGACGAGGGAGGAATGATGTTTCTTCCAGTTCTATTCTCCATCGAGGGATTTTGGAAATTAGTCAATCTTGGGTTTTAATTTGGGGTAGGTTGGGTCATGGGTTAATGGGTCGGGTCACATTGGTTAGGTTTTTATGATGTGGCAGGATTGATTTTATTTTATTTTTGTCAAAAATAGGTGACTAGGTGAGTTGGTGAGCCACGTCAGCAAATAACTGACGGTGTTAATGAAAACTGACGGAAGATAACGAAGAGTGACCAAACTTGAACCATTTAACTAATTTGAGTGACCACTAATGGATTTAAATATTTTCAGTGACCAAATATGAACGTTTTTTGTAATCTCAGTGACCAACCATGTAATTAACCCCTTTTATTTCATCTGAAGATTGGAACTTTATGTTTACTTCAATTTTAGTTGGATTTCATGGCTACGATCATGAGCTACTGCCCCCTTATTTCTCGGTGCTAGTAAATGGCGAGCCTCAATATTATTTCAAGAAACCAAACTCACTAGCACAAATTTATATTCTCAATCCCATATTCCATATTTATTACAAAAATATATCCAAAATTCAACATGGTATCAGAGCAATACCAAAAGTTCAACATTCTCTCTCTTGCGACGGTAGGCGCGCAATGTTGAGGTGGCTTTTTCTTTTTTTAGCTGGCCGGTTTGTTTCATCCCAGTGCAATGTGCACCGAGATGTCGCGATGCTAGTCATGAGGTCTTCTACCACAAGTTATATATAGTCTATGTTTGGCCCGACTTTTAGAAGTGTTTTTCTGTTTTAAAACCTGAAACAGGGCCAAACACCTAAAAAAAACTCGACTTTTGAAAAGCTAAAAAGTGTTTTTTTGCGAAAAGTGTTTTGAAAATACAAAATTATCATTACTATATTTTAATTTTATTTAACTAAATATAGTTTTCTACCAATTATATCATATTAAAAATAAAATAAAATTAAAAATAAAATTATTTAATATAAAAGAAATCTAACAAGATCCATTTTGACTACTTTTTATTTTTTAAAGAGTAATGAAAGCAAAAAAAATCCAACAAAATCTAACTGGTTGTGAGAGAAGCAACACAAAGATTGGGGAAGTGGGTAGTGGGAAGAGTGCTTTGGTGTGTGCTGATGTGTGAAGTTTGGCGCGAGCAGTGTAGGAGGCTTTATGGGAGAAAGACACTTACATTGGAGGCCTTAGTTGTAAACATGTAAGGAGTCATTGAAGCTAAAGAACAGGCAAGCAGTCATTTGTAGTTGCTGCACTAGGAAAAAGCTTATGGTATAAGGGATGAAGCGATGAGCTAGTTGTTTGTTGGTCAAATGTTCTACTTGGTTAGACAGGAAGATGCTAACTGTATGCTCTGTTTTCTTCACTGTTGAGGAATTCTGATTCTTATTATTTTGTCCGCTGTTTGTACATATTGAGTAGGATACTGTTGTAAAGATTGTATTAGATGAATAAGAATTTCACTCATTCATCGAAAAAGCACTTCTAATAGTTTTTCATCCAAACATTCAACTGCTTTTTTTGAAAAGTACTTCTCTAAAAGCTCCAATCAAAAGTTGTTTCTGTAAAAACTACGGGGTCAAACTAGCCAATAAGCTGAAGGTGGTATCGTAGAATGCTCTGATCATGGACTCTTTACTGTCACTTGGTTGAGGTTCTTGTTATCTTCGACACTATTGGTGCTTTTGTCTGCTTGGCCTTTAGTACTGGCGTGGTGGGTGGTATGAATGTTGGTGGCGTCTTCTGCCTTATGGCTATAGCTCTTCTTGGTTCCTTTGCCACTCTTTATTCCCATTTTTCATGTCCCTTTGTGGCCTTTCTTTTCTTTCCATTGTGTGTGGACTATCACTCATGGTTAGAGGCGGCAAATGGATTGGTAGCTTCATAGATCAAATGGATTGGTGGATTCATGGATTAGTGGATTGATTTATATATCTAAATGACATCCAATACTTTGTCACATATGTAATTTTTTGAAAAATTTATGTACAAAATGCATAATAAATTATTTTAGGTACCAAAACATAATTTTCCAATGATATTTTTGTATAAAAGTAAATTTTAGGTACCAAATTATAAAATATAAAAAATAAGGTACTAAACTATAATTTGTCAATGATTCATGAATCCAATCCATTAAACCACCAATCCAATTGGATGTGGACCAAATGGATTGGATTAGTTGAATATTTAAATGATAGATTGAATTGATTGGATTTAATTGTAGATTGGATTATAAATTGTCATCTCTACTCCTGGTGATGCCTTTCAACATTGTTGCCTTCCTTCTTTTTTGGCTTGGACATAGAAAGACTTTTGTCCCTTTTCTTCTATATTTTCTTATAAGGGTGATATAGGCTTCATTTTTGTGATTAAGGTACTACATAAGAGATTCGAACCTGAGACCTCAAAGTTCTACGCTAGTGATATTACCACTAGACCAAATCCTTATTCGTCCTTTTCTTCTATATACTATTTCATCATTATAAAAGGAAAAAAAAACTAAACATGACCTTGTTTAGTTTTGTTCTTAACAATTGTGGACATAAAAGCAAAAAACTTGTTTAGTTGGATTTCTAACTTTTGCTGTAAAAATGATTCACTGATTCACACAAGAATGTATTTCCCCTATCTGTTGCACACGGATTTTTATAGGTTTTCACTAAAACCTTTTTTCTTCAAATGTATATCCTGATGTGTTAGATTACTGACTCATGCCATAATTTGGAACATATGGTTAGAGGAAAACTCCAAAAATTTCAGGATAATGGGTGTATGTACATGGAATAAAGTAATGCACAAAGCGGTAAACAACTCCATCAATTGGAGTCTAGCTACTCTAGAGGATTAACAAGAAGTAAGAGTACTCGATTCCCACCCCCCGTCTCAAGATCTCTCACGCCTCAATTTGAAGCTTGTGTGATTAATTATGTCTGTACTTTTGACAATGTCGCTACTGCGTTTGAACTATTGTAGTTAGCGCGTAATTAACAAACTAACTTAATAGACCATTCATTAAAAAAATTGTTACTAGTCTGATATTTGTGCAACCACTAAAAATGGTCACCCATACCCATTTTTCGCGGACTATTCCAAATAATAGTCTAGGTATTTGGACCAACGTTCTATTGGCGAGTGTTTGCGCCCTCATTGGTAAGGGGACTAGGGGTGAATATTTTTGAGAAGGTTAAGGTGATAAAATACATTCGGTGTCTCTCTATCTATACTAGTCAAGGACGGAGCGGACATGACAAGGCAAGTCGGAAGTATTACACATGTCCCTCCCCATGTTACTATGAGTCGGGACAGGTTATGGTGATTACCTGGTATTAGTAATCACCGTGGCTACTAAGGATAAGAATGGTATTTTGCTTTTATTATAATCATAACGAGCTTATAACCTGACCCATTGGTCGGAGGTAGCTTAGCCGAATATCGAATTATTGGTATGAACGTGATAATGTTATTGGCTCAGGTAGAGTATGAGAGTAACATCTCATTAGTCACTTGTCATTAGTTTGTATTGGAATAGGGAATAAGTGACGTGAATTTGTTTCAGTGTTTAAGATATCAAAGAAGACTGCAGAAATGAGACCTAATTCGTGTTAATTAAACTGAAAATATACCAAGTATTCATTGTATCTACCAGAAAGGCGAGGACAACACTTCAATTCAAATTGGATAAGAGATTTCCAAGAGTAGGCAAAGCCCTAATAGTTGCAAAAGAAATTAGAAGAAATATTAAAATTTGGAAGTCAAGAGAAATACAAATTTAGTTATTCAAATGGAGATGAAGACTAAAATATTGGTGAGAATCCAAATGTAGTCTGTTTACAAAATATACAGGCATGAAACACACTTAAAAAGAAGAAAACATACTAGCTATGTCCTTCCGGTTTGTTTTATCTTCCCAACATAGTGAGCATTTGCAAGAAAAAGGGAATGACAATAAAACTGAGGAACGTTGTGGAGCGATAGTGGTACTACATCTTGTTTTCTTTTGGATTGATTGGAAGATGTGACAAACACATAGAATCTTTGACAATAATAACATCAACATCAATTTTGTCAATACTTCCTTGTAGTGATGGCCTAGGTGGATCCATGGGTGGTCATAGATTGGGAAGAGGGATGCACACTCTAGATAGCAGCCTGTGCTAAAAGATAAAGTGGTGATAATGGTAAAAAAAAAAAAAATACACATGACTTTGTCTTCATTCAAATAAACCTTGTCATAAGTCATAACGAACTCATTATCCCAAATCATTATCAATTAATGCCCCAACTACCTGATGTGCATAATAGCTCTGGAGCTGTATTGCTGTTTGTGTTGGTCTACCTTCAAACATAGCTGCATCACGAACCAAAGTAATTAAGCAAAAATCTTCATGTTCTAAGTAGAACGAATCAATTCAATTTGGACAATGCTTTATACATATCAGTTACCCCTGCACCTGTTGCACTTGCTGCCTTCAGATCTTCGTGAACACAATACAGTTGAGGAGTGGATGTTGTCAATGAAGTGGAGTGTGTTAATTAAATGAATCACGATACAACTGAACAAATGGGGTCGTCTTGATTAGCTACTAGTATAGTGGGGGTAGCTACAATTCGTCGGTTGGTCCTTTTACGCGTTCCAATCAGAATCTCTGTCCTAAGTTGTAGAGATTAGGGTTTAGTTGGAACTTTGGGTACAGGAGGATAGTAGGTTTGTGGGGGAGAAGATGACTCGGCGAGTAGAATGGGAAGCTTTGGCTAGGCTGTGATGGGTGCACGATTAGTGGGTCAAATAACAGATTGGGCCCGTTTAAATCAAAACATGTTTTTACTTTCGTGCTCAACATACCGGCTGCACGGGAGCCTTCTAAATTCAGCCCCCAAACAATTGGTTTGGATGCAAGAAATTTGAAATGGGATCCCTCATTTATCATTTCACCTTTATATTATGTGATGAGTGATGAATGTAGATGTAGACATGTCAATGTCCTAAAAATTTATTAACACGCAATAAGTGGTGAAATGAGCCACCCTATTAAACTCAATCTCGTATAAAGATCGTTGGATCCAATCATGCCAGATTAGTAGATGTTTAAAATATAGCGGTTAACCTGTTAAAAGAACCATTCCCATATAGTTTGCACAAAGATATGATTGTTTCATAGCATTTCTGAAAACTAATACTAATTTAAGAAGTAGACATTGCTTCTACATATTTAATATTGCAACTCGATAATGCAATAATCGAACCAGTGATATTTGGGCTGCAATTTTAGGGTTACCATATATTTATAAGATAGATATAAATTTAAATTAATTATTAAACTACAACTAAAATAATCAAAATACCAAATAAGTACTTACGGGAGACTCAGTGACTAGTTAATCGTTGAAACAGCCATATGATTTTCAGATTTTAGGTTCGTGTATTTTTTTATTTAAAAAGATAGAACAAATATACTTAGTATGATTGGTTATGATCCTTGCTTTTCTTTAAAGTGACCATTGTTCAAATCCTAGTGCATGTCTTTTTTTATGAATAAATAAAAATGAAATACGTAATTGTGAAGAGCAAAATGTCCTTCCTATTTTCACTCTCGTTGCAGGAAATTTGAAATGGAGCAACAGTTTTCCTCATATTATGTGTAGATATGTTGAAGGTGGAAGTGTTATGTAATAGTTAGACTCACTCAAGAAATACTTTCAAGGTTCCTCTGGTGCGTTCACACTCCAAGAAACAAACTAATTAACATGTAATCTCGTATTTAAATTTTTACTGTTATTCAGAAAGAAAACCCTAGCTCCGAAGGTTTCGGAGCGGCGATTCCCTGGCTACAGCGAGCTGCCGACGGCGCTCTCCATGACAACACCGCACCGGGGGATATACCCCCGAACTGCCACCTACCGGATGCGACTCAAGGTATACGAAGACCTCTTTCAGCATCTTCCTCACCCAATGACAAGGCAGAGAGGGGGACGCAGCAAGCCAAGAAGCGTGCCAAACCTTTGGCCGCAACAGCACTGTTTGAGAAAGAAATCCCCATGGAAGACGTCGGCCTAGATACGACTGGATCGGAACAAGGTTTCAAATAGACCCCGACGTGCCCTAATGGCGGGAATCCACCCAATGCATGGGCGAGGGGATCGAAGAACCTGTTTCGGGACTCTATCCATGAGGAGATGTGGTACGTTGCCGAATCGGACTCTGAAGACGTGGCCGAAGCCATGAAGGAGGATGATCTGGACGATGAAATTCCTGAGGAAGACGACCCCCGTTGCCCCACCATTCCATTCAAAACAATGGAGAAAACACGGTTTCGACGTCAGTGGCGTTCTGCTTTGATTGTTAAGGTCCTGGGAAGCACATACCCGTACCCAGTTCTAGCTAAGAGGCTAGAATCACTGTGGGCAAAAGACGGAACTCTACAGAGCAACAGTATCTCCTGGGGATTCTATGTGGTCCGATTTACCCATCAGCTGGACTACGAGAGGGCGGCGGCAGGAGGCCCGTGGATGATAGGCGACCACTACCTTACTGTTCGCCCATGGCGTAAAGGGTTTGATCCTAAGGACGTAGAAGTTGCGTCAACGCTAGTTTGGGCGAAGTTCCTAGCTCTCCCTATTGAGTATGTGAAAAAGAAAGCAGCGGAGAAAATTTCCTCGAGGATGGGGAAGCCAGTTCGAGTAGACCGTGCGACGCAGAATGGGGAGCGAGGGAAGTATGCTCGGGTTTTTCTGGAAGTGGACTTGACCAAACCCCTCCTATCCAAAATAGTGGGGAAGAAGTACTACATCGAGTATGAGGGGTTGCATAATATTTGTACGGAGTGTGGGAAATATGGCCATGCCCGTGTAACATGCCCATCGGTTATGCGTGAAGCTAGTAAGGAAACAGTAGCCCCGGAGCCAACAAATCCGGCTACGGAGACAGTGGACCCTACATACGGGGAATGGATGATGGCAAAGCCGAGGAATGGTAAGAATAAACGGAAGCCGAGTGAGCAAAAACCGTTGTCCAAAGGAACGAACACCAGCGAGGGTGCTGCCAGGAGGTCGGCGCCTCCAGGGTCCGTGGAAAGCAACGAGTCCCGCTTCCAAGTCCTCGGGGATGAAGAGATGTCCGCAAATGGAGGATCAGGGGAAAGCCAAGGCGTGTCCCAGGATACCATGCTAGAGACTCTCCACCAGAAGGGGATCAAATCCGCGGCCCTAAAGCAGGCGAGTCAAGGAGTGCCAGCCATCCCGAGTGTAGTGCAAGATGGCCATCCCGAGTCAAGGGATCACCCACTGTGCAGAACCTAAATCAAGCTCCGAGGAATACTTGTAAAAATCTGGCTGCCGCAGGTACTAAGAAGAAGCAGGTGGCGGGAAGTGACAAGGTAATTGCCAGCAAGCCTCGAGAAGCGGGGAAATGAGGTGGAAGCAAGCCCACCATGGGTTTGGCTGCACCCATGAAAAAGACGTTGCAACCGACCAGTGCCATGCACGAGAACCTTGTTGCGAGCAAGGGAAACAACAGTGAAACAGAGGGAACCAAGACTGGTGATCCGGGTGGAGCTACGGCTCCTGAGGCATCGACATAACTGCACCCTACCTCAGGGAAGTTGTCGTTCTCCTTCTTTTTTCACTGTAATGTTTAGTATTATTTCTTGGAACTGCCAAGGGGCAGGAAGTGATGCTTTTTTAGCATATCTTTCATCTTTTTGTGGACCGGCTAGACCGGACTTAGTATTCATTGTTGAACCCCGCATCAGTGGGGATATTGCCCGTAAGGTTATTGATAAGACGGGCTTTGATGGATTATTACAAGTTGATGCTTTGGGTTTTGCAGGACGAATCTGGGTACTTTGGCACAAACAAGAGTTGGAAGTAACGGAGCTGTCAACTTCCACCCTGATGATCCATACGGCCTGTCGAAGGAAGGAAAGAGGCAGTGAAGCAGTCTTCCTCTCAGCCATATATGCTAGCCCGAATGCAGCAACCAGACAGGATCTTTGGGATGAGATCCGAACCACAAGTCGACTCACCACGGAGGCATGGCTACTCGCTGGTGACTTCAACTCTATTTTAGGGCCACAGGAACGTAAGGGTGGTGTATCGTACCAGGAAGCTCGTACCCGTGCGTTTCGTGGCTACTTGGACGATAGCGGCCTGTCAGATGCTGGTTTCTCAGGGCCTCGATTTATGTGGAAGAGAGGGAACCAGTTCCAGAGGCTAGACCGGGTTGTCTGCAACAGAAGATGGCTAATGAGATTTCCCCAAACAAAGGTGACCCACTTGGAAAGAATTTGATCCGACCACCGTCCGCTACTTATCCAAACGGATGATGGGCATGGCCAGCGGATCAGGAATCGACCATTTCGTTTCCTCGACCCCTGGACCACCCACGAAGACTTCATGAGAGTTCTTCAGGAGAATTGGCTCGGGAATGACATGATACTTGAGGCTCTTGAAGTCTTGTCGGCTGCACTTGCTCGCTGGAATAGAGACGTATTTGGGCACATTCAGCAAAGGAAGCGAAGACTCATTGGGCAGTTGAGGAAGTTAGAAAAGCAAAATGAAGACCGGGGTAGCTTGGCCTCGATGGCGCAGGAGGAGGAGACTAGGAAGGATCTGGAGGAGACTTTGTGGCAAGAACAATTGCTGTGGTTTCAAAAGTCTCGTATCTCATGGATCAACGAGGGGGATAGGAATACTCGTTTCTTCCACCTCTCTACCTTGAAACGCAGGCGGTTTAACAAAGTTCTAGCCCTACAGGACGAGAATGGGCAGTGGGTTCACGATGAAGAGGTGCTGCAGGCAATGGCGGTGGACTACTTTCGGACTCTCTACATGGCTGAGTTTGGGCCCTCTTTGGAAATTCCTAGATGCTTCCCGGACATGGATAATTCCAGCATCGTAGCGCTGGAAAGACCGCTTTGGGAGGAGGAAGTGCAACTCGCGGTTAAGGGCATGGGGGCGTTTAAAGCGCCGGGGAAAGACGGATTCCAACCTTCTTTTACAAGAAGTGTTGGGAAACGGTTGGACCCTCTCTGACTAACTTTGTGCTAGCTTGCTTTCAAGAGCCGCAGCTTATTCGAAGAGTGAATGAGACACTCCTAGTGCTTATCCCGAAGAAGGATAGCCCAGAGTCGATGAAAATGTTTCGGCCTATCAGCCTATGCAACGTTGCGTATAAAACACTGTCGAAATGCCTGGTACAGAGAATCCGGCCGCTGATGAGTAAGCTTGTCCACTCCACCCAGACGAGCTTTGTCCCGGGGAGACATATATCGGATAATATAATAATAGTGCAGGAGATGGTCAACTCAATGCGGTTGAAGACAGGAAGGAAAGGCCAGATGGTGCTAAAGATCGACCTAGCAAAAGCCTATGACCGCCTCAACTGGGCTTTCATCCGCGACACTCTTCTCGCGGTGAACTTTCCTCCGCAGATGGTCCAGGTAATCATGGAATGTGTAACCTCCGCTTCTATGCAGGTATTATGGAATGGCAGCTGTACAGAGTCCTTCACGCCTTCCCGGGGCCTCAGGCAGGGATGCCCACTCTCTCCGTACATTTTTACGCTTTGTATGGAGAGATTGGGGCATCTCATACAGAAGGAAGTCGAGGGCGGCCGTTGGAAACCCATTCAGGCATCGCCAGGAGGGCCTGCCTTGTCTCATATCTTCTTTGCAGATGATCTAGTCCTCTTTGCTGAAGCCAGCGAGGAGCAGGGCGAGCTGATCATGAAGTGCCTAGACCAATTTTTCCAGGCTTCGGGGCAATAGGTGAGTAAAGAGAAATCAGTGGTGTTCTTCTCCAACAACACCACTTGGCAGAGAAGCTCGACGATTGCAAACCGGATGGGCATCCCCATGACTCAGGACCTAGGACGGTATCGCGGAGTACCTGTACTCCATGGCCGGGTAACCAAACAAACTTTTAAGTATATTCTTGATCGCTTGGATAATAAACTTGCAGGGTGGAAGGCTTCCAGTCTCTCGCTTGCAGGACGGGTTACCCTGGCCAAGTCGGTGCTCAGTTCACTGCCTACGTATGCCATGCAGACCACCCTCCTCCTGATCTCCATCTGTGATGAAATTGATCGGAGGATTCGGCAATTTATCTGGTGTTCGACAGGTGATAGCAGAAAGATCCACTTGGTCCACTGGGAGAGGGTTTGTCAGCCCAAAGGAGAGGGTGGTCTCGGCTTCAGAAAGGCGAATGAGCTCAACCTTGCTTTCCTAGCTAAACTGGCTTGGCAATTTGTCAAAAGGCCGGGCAAGCTGTGGGTGAAGGTGCTACAAGCCAAGTATTTCAAACAGGTGAACGGAGTGCTTGCACCAAAATCGATGGCCAGAGCCTCGAACCTGTGGAGAGGCATGAGAAAGGCGTGGCCGATTGTCGAGGCTGGAACGCTAATGAGCCACAAGGACGACCTATCTACCAATTTTTGGACCGACCAGTGGGTGCAGCCAAGCGTCATCCTCCTTAACCACCTACGTGAAGATTGCCCGCCGATAGAACCCCACACGCCAGTCGCCACTTTTGCTAATGATGGTAAGTGGGATCTATCCCTGCTCTCGTTGTATCTATCGGATGAGGCTCTTTTGATGGTTGCAGGAACACAACCACCTATAGATAACAGTGGGGAGGACGTACCTGTATGGGGGCCGGAAAGCAATGGGAAGTTTAGCGTTCGCTCTGCCTACAGCCTAGTCGCATCTTATGCGGAAGGGATGAGTACGTTAGGGTGGAAGGCGATTTGGAATTGGAGAGGGCCGGAGCGGGTACGCCATTTCATATGGCTGGCGAAGCGGGAACGACTCCTCACCAATGCTGAACGAGGGAGGCGGAAGCTCACAGAAGCCACCGGATGCGGAGCTTGCAACCTGGATCAGGAAACAGTCATGCATGTGTTGCAGGACTGCCACTTTTCCAGGTTAACTTGGATGCAACTCATCCCACCTTCTGAATACCACCGATTTTTCAGAGCTAATCTGCAGGATTGGATTGAGCATAACATTAAAAAAGAGCACACATTCTTGGAGTTCGGCCTTACCTGCTGGTCTCTTTGGAAGACTAGGAATGATCGAGTCTTTGCAGGCAAGATCACTATGACTGAGGCATTTCTACAGCGCGTCCAGGCATGGATAACTGTCGTGAGGCAAGCCTTGGACAAGGACAGGATCATTCACCAACCTAGTCCGCCCATGAGAACGGAGGTGGAGATCTCTTGGAAGCCGCCACCTCCAGAGTGGGTAACCCTCAACACCGACGGCTCCGTTCACACTGTCATAGGCCATGCTGCAGCCGGTGGCCTGTTACGAGATCACTCTGGAAAATGTCTTATGGCATTTGCGTTTAACCTGGGTACTTTCTCTATAACCCGGGAGGAGTTGAGGGGCGCTGTGGAAGGACTTCAGTTGGCTTGGGATGCTGGGTATAAGAAAGTCAGACTAGAGCTTGACTCCAAATGTGCGTGCGAGCTGCTCCAGAGCACCGAGCCTAGTGAGCATCCCCATGCAACCATCTTTGATAGAGCTGTTGAGCTGCTGAATGATAGAGAATGGGAAGTCAATGTCTCCCACATATATAGAGAAGGTAATAAATGTGCTGACTACCTTGCTAGTTGTGGTCACCTTGTACCATTGGGTCTTCAAATGTTTCCTCTTTCCGATCCTACTCTTTGTAACTGGTTGCTGTACGATATTCAGGGGATCTCTGAACCCCGGGTGGTTTTGAATGAAAGGTAGGATGCAGTTGCATCCATTTAATAAAAAAAATCTTTACTGTTACATGCACGTGGTTAAACAGTTTAAGAAGGGATGGATATGACAACAAAACCCCTCTTACTTCTTTCTAACTCTTTTTTCTATTGTCGGAGAAAAATTGGGCAAAGCTTCCCATAAATATCACACCTTTGACCATATCCTACTTTTATGCAAGGACCAGGAAACGGGATCGTACCGGCCAGTTCAACCGAAAAACTGGTTAGTAGTAGAATATCTAATACAACCCTGGGGGTGGATTTTTATCAAAGTACGCAGCAACACAATCAATCCAAGGATTGGACTGATTAAAATAAAATTCGAAACCAAAAACGGATGTTCTTGGGTGTTTGGGATAAAGAGGAATCAAACGTGCAATTCCACAACTGGGGAAAGGCTCGATTGATATAAGGATAGATGTCCGGCCACGATCAACACGTTCTTGATCGATACAAGAGCTCAAGGAGCTTGGAATCCATCAAAGCTCACACAAGTACGCAAACTTGCAAAAACCCAAAGGTTCCAATTTAATTCATCAAAATATGAATTTTACAACGAAATAGAACGGTATTTAAAGGAAAATATACATAATACAAACCTGATAGAACTAGGAAACAATTAAGATAAAAATCAAGCCTAAAAAGGACACAAAATTCGGGTTTAAACTCCCTTTCTTGAAGCGCAATAAGCTGCCAGCAAACAGTCCAAAAGCAGCTTTCGTACTAACTTAACGCCTTTCGTTCGAGGCCTTCCAGAACTCCGATCTTTCATCCAATTCCTTCCCTTGGTAGATAAACATACCTATTTTCTTGTTGTGGAAGCTTCTGGACTCGAATCAACTCCATGCTCCTCGAATTGAGCTCCAAAGTAGGCTTCACAAACACGTTTCGAGACTTGACCTTTTTCTGGCAGTTTTCCAGTTTTGAGGTAGTAAATTTGAGGCCTTGGAAAACAACATTAATGACTTCTTCTTGAGCAACCAAGCTTACCAATGTGTAGATAATCACTCCATGTTCAATACAAGCCGTTAAACTTGAATTTCCATTGAGCCAATTGATAGAAACGTGCCTCCAAAGTCGGCTACTTGAACACGAAAATGACTTGGAAAGATGAATGTTCTTTGGGCATGTTGAGCTTGCTTCTTCATCACGTAATTTTAACTTGTAGAGTATCCTATTTGAGATCATATTAATATCGGACCGACCGGTTTTACTGGCGTAATAGGTACAAAATGAAAAACCGGCCGGCTTTGGTCTGACCGGTAGTAGGCTTAAAGGATGGGAAACGGCGTCGTTTTGTACTTAAATTAAAAAAAAAAAATCAGCCAAAGGCCAGAGATGCAAAACCTAATTTGGGTCTTGGGAACCCTTTCGATCTTTCTTCCTCTCGTCGCATTTTTCGTCCCCAGCGTAGCCCCGCCCGCCGCTTCTCCTCTTCCTCTCTGGCCGTCCCGTCTGGCGATCCGCTACCGGCGATTGGTGAACCGCGACGTTGAAAGCAAGGAGGCCCCCCGTGTCCGCCGCTCGTTTTGTTTTTTGTTTTTTTTTTGTTTCTCTCTGGCTATTGGCGCCCGCTGCGCCGCTCTTATAGCCTGAGGTCCTTCCTCGTTTGAGCTGAGGTCTAGGTTTGGTCAAGAATGCCGCTGTATTCTACCATCATCGATTGAGTAAACAGAATGGTATATGCGGGAAACGCTCCATTGGAGCTCTGTTTATAGAGACCTCGATTTCACTCTGTTCTTGATGGTGTAATTAGTAAATTGTTCAATGGTTAATCTAACACAACATGTTTTGATCTTGATTAGAAGTATAATATCTTGTTATTTAAGAGTTGACAACCAATCTCAAAGTGATGTTTGTGATATATGTAAATGTAAGCTCGTAAGTGGTCAATCATGCAATGAAGTTTATAACCTATTAGTTTATTTAGGTTTGTTATCCGGTATTACTCCGAGACGGTATCCTGAATCTACCGGTACGATTTTTAACAAAAAAAATGCTATTTAATTATAAAAATAATATTTTGCCGGTACATGACGGTTGAACCACAATCATACCACAAAATACCTACCACAGACGGGTCCGGTATGATGTCCGGTACAGTTTCCTTTACCGTACTTTTATCCAAATACCCTTGAAAAATAATAAAAAATTAAAATATTGTAAACAACAAAGTGAACGTGACATAATAATCAAGGCTAAAATGAGGAATATCCTTGAACATATAAATGCCCATCTTAAAATCATATCAAGTCTCGTGTCCTGTCATGTAATTTCAATACAAAACTCCATTTTAGCATTTATAAAACTTTAGGGGCTTTTCTAGCCAAACATCAAAGTTCAGGGACCACATAAATTATTTTCCCAAACTTTACTGACTAACATCCACGTTCTGTAAACATAGTGATTCGACCATGCAACTACTAAAGATTGGGTACTAAGTCAATCACGTCTGAAACTTTGGGACTGACTGTAACAATCTTAGCCGTCTTTAGCAATCATCAATTCGTCACTAAAAGTCTGTGATACCGTCTCTAAATTCCCAAATTTATACATATGCATTTATATCCATCCATGGCTCGAATTTAACGTTGGGAATCAATTCCCTTACCTCTAAAAGGTGTATAGAACAAGATGTGATGAATTTTGCAGTTCCATTGGTCGTGAGTTCTCGAGATTCAGCCGTCAAAACTACGTTTCACAAATACAAGTTGGGGTAGCTATTATTAGGGAGAAAACCTAGTTACTCTTTGTTATGTATTCCTTGTATATAGCTAAGTCCATATCCTTATTGTACTTGTACTCTACTCATGTGCTCCTGTATGTTCTGGGTATAAATACCCCTCACGTCAGTAATACAAGATACAGTTCTCCCAAACCTTATAGCTATCGTTGGATTTGAGCTTGGAATTGGGATTGGGATTGGGATTGTTTCATGGTCTTTACCTTATGGTACACGAGGTAGAAACTAGAGTCGAACAACCCTTGCTTCCTTCTGTCACAAATTGCGGCTACCCGAAGGTGGCGAGGCTTGCTGCTACTACAACAATTAAGGCCAACACTATTGTGGCTTCTCCTAGCTACTGCTTTGGGTTGCAAGAGACTAGCAAAAGATGTTGAAGGTTGATATATTTTGTGAGTGGAGGGAAAGGCAGAGAGAGCTCTTGAGCTCGTATGAGAGGAAAGGAGGGTAGAAGGGGAAGTCAATGGTAGGTTTAGTTGTATAATGGCCATCGTTCACTTCCCATTCTATTTTATGTAATTCTGGCAATAGAAAACAAAATTTGGAAAAATGGAAGTTGTCATTTTTTGAGAAACAATTCCTGAAAACCTGATACTGAAAATCTATTTAGGTGAGATTTTTGGTGAATTTGGAAAATGTAATTTCTTAAAAACCTTATATTGAAATGAATTTTTTTTTGTTTGAAATACAAAAGAACTCATTTTAAATGGTAATTTTCGAATAAGCTAATCAATAATGGTAATGTTGTCACTTTTCGAACTCCATGTAGTTGGTGCATGCTTTCAATGATTAATTTGGAATACACACTATTTTCTAATTTAGTTATTACATTAGGGTACATTTTGGAAGGTTTTCATTTAATTCAATTATAAATGTGTTCCAAATATAAATTGGGATAGTATTCCAACCAAAAAATTCATTTGGAAATGAATATCACACAGTAATTCATTTGAATTGAAATGAACTACTGATTTATTTGGTTTCAAATAGTCTATTTCATGAAAATTTATCTAAAAATAAGAGAATAATTAAAGGACTAAAATAAATTTTAAAAAATAATTGTGAGTGATGTCATTCAAATATTGTACCTCATTAATAAGAAGTAAAAGGTTTTTTCATTGAAAATATGATAAACAAATGTTGGAAACTGGTGGAAACAACGTTTTGTCATTTTCGAAAACAACAGAAAGCTACCACTGATTGTTTCTAGAATTGAAAACGGACGGAAAACATAGTAAAAAGTATACAGGTTTTCTCGTTTCCATTGCTAGATCTATGGAACGGAAATAGAAAATAGGTTACAAAAATGAAACTGAACATACTCTTATATTAGGCCATTTTTAGTGACAAACAAGGCCTCCAACGTCGTTGTGCTCGTCTTCATAGCCGAGCAAGGATAGCTGGACACAACGTGTACTAGATCACATCCAAGCACCATACCAATCATAGAACTCTCAAACACATTAAAATCCCATTGCTAAAATTATAAAGATGAAGACATTCGAAAGGAAGCGGAAACATATACAAAATACGAGCTATCAATTATCACCCACCTAGCTACTCAGAGGATTGTAATTTGGCAATTTGATCGCTAGGATTTTGAGATTAGTCCACATATTATGTATAATGTCAGTTTCATGTGTAAAATCTCTCACATTACAATCCATCAACCTTCATTTTTCAAATGTCAAGACTTACGCGTACTGTGTACGTGCAAGAAAGATACTACATTTTGAAAACGAAATAACATTTTCCCAAAATTATAGGTTCATTCACCAACCCATTGTGCACGAAATTACATGAGGTCAAAAGAGTTATTTGAAAAATGAATTTGAAATTAATCCTAAAGATCATTTCCCTCAGGGTAGGAATGTGGATATATCTCTCTTGGATTGTGGTAAGAAATTGTCAGATTCAGAACATATAACTACCTCATTCACTTTGCACTTCAGTTAGACTCCGAGACTGTATCTTTTCCTCCATTGGGAATATAAAAAATTAACCAACCTCTATATATAGAATATCTTTACAAATAACTTGAACTGCAAGCACAACTTTTGTCTATCCATCATCCTTCATCCATTAACACATAAATTATTTATCCTAAGACAACCTCATAAACATCTGCAGCTAGAATGAGTCAAGTATCATGACTAACAAATTAACAAAACAACCATGTTATTTTATCACAACACAATACTCAATACTTTTGAAACTGATGCCCATTGATATGTTCAAAGCAT